CCACGTAACTTGTGGAGAATCCTGAGCTGTGAAAAGATCTTTTTCTCCAACAAGACTTTTCTCTCCGTGAGGCATCAGTTTACCAATTAGGGCTTAGTTAACATGCAAAGGTCATTCATACAGCTAATTCTTGGCTTATAAAGTATATGAAAAAAATCAATAAATATGCAATTAAAAAGAAAAGGAATTAGAGTTTTCATATTTACATTGCCATCTCTCTTAGGAGCCTTCTTGATAGATACTCATTGATACTGCAATCAATAAAAGGAAGGATTTGAAGAGCACCCCTCCCAAGGAACAGGAGCAAGTGGGGGGAAAGTTCACTTTAAGTTCTCCAAGATAGAAAATAAAGTTTATTTCTAATCAAACACTTAGTTGAACGAGGGCGGTTTAAAATTGCCTTTGTAATAACAAGTTGAAGGTTTTCTCTTTGACAGGGGACAAGTTCCAACTCCATCTGCATTCATGTGGCTTGTATTGTTCTTACCTAATGAGATAGAGAATATCTCCTAAACATTGACACATTAGAGGCATGCTTCACTCAGCATGAAGGTTTGAGGCATCAAGGATACCTTGAGCATCCTCGGAGTCCAACAACTTGTCAGACAAATTAGCACCTTCTCAACCAAGGGTAAAATTGAGTTTCACATTTCTCCCTGGTGGGGGAAGAAGAACGGAGGAGAAAATCACTCTAGTTTAATACTTCCTTTGTTAAGACAAATACAGAGAGCCTTATCATCTCTCTACAGCTCTCCCTGACCTCCTGATTTTTAATTCATTGGTTTTAAATGATCCTTGACAGTCAAGATCCTTTTGTCAACTTCTATGTGCTTACCACAGAAGACAGACACTCTGGTTTTATTAGACAAGCCTATTTCTTCCTTTCTCTCTCTCTCTCTCTTTTTCTCTCTTTATTTTTAACAAGGTAGTCTCAAAGAAAAATTAATATTTCACTAATAGATGAATGAAAATAGATAATAAGCTATAAACCAGATAAAACCTTACAATGTTATATATGATCAATTATTTTTATTTGATAGGCATTTTAAAAATTCAATTGAGTCCAGGTTGTAAGTTAACCACTTCAGAAGGTAAGAGAATCATGCTTTAAAATTCTTCATTTTAAAATTCTTTGAGGGATGCTTGAGAAAAATTACTATCTGTGATTCTACATTCATGTTCATTCTTTCTTCTGCCTACAAATAAGTTTTCATCTTTTAAGTTGAAATGAAATACACAAAAAAAGTTTGAAAATATTTTTGTTGTTTTTACAGTGAAGTCCATACTTTTTCTTTCTAGAATTTAATCTTACAGAATCTCCAAGATCCAGAAAAAACTTCATAAATGCACCCCAACCTGGGCAAAAAAAAAAAAAAAAAAGAACTCTGACTAACTAGCCCTAGCCATTCAGTACTGTATGGACATTAAAAATAAATAATTTTAAAAAGTAAAAAAAAA